CGTTATTTTTATGCCGCCGACTCTGGCCGGGCGTGCGCAGCGACCCCCACCCCCACCACCTCCGGGCCCACCAGGTGCCCCTCCCCGGTGTGTCAGCCTACAGCGATTTCAGGGTCTTTACTGTAAGCCCACAGGCACACAGAGTACGATGCCCGCTCACTGCACATGCCCACACCCCTGCGCCCGGCCAGCCAACCACCCCCGCCGATCCCCATGCACCTTTGAAGAAACCACGGAGGCTTCTGGGGAATAAAGTGTGTGAAGCCTCCCTCGAGATTGTTTCTGAATTCATTATGGCAAAGACGTGTAACAAGGTATTTGTCAGGTCAGCCCACCTCGCCATCCTCACCCGTTGTCCCGGAGAGGAATCCCATCCACAGCGCACAGACTGGACTTGTTCCCTTGGCTTTCCGAGCCTGTACGGCTGCACGGGAGCTGACCACCTTGGCCTTCTCCCAGGAGCGCCCGGGAGCTTCAAACGGCCTGCCTCGTGGGAGCCCAACACATGGCCCTCGGCGCCACCCGGGCGTACAATTCAGTGATATGAACCACATGTCACGATCCGTTTCCAAGTTGTTCCATCTGCCGGCACGGAAGCTCCGAGTTCCCTCAGCAGAGGGTCCCCGTTGCCGCGCCCTCTCCCTTGTTCCCGGCCCCGCTGGACGATTCAGAGGGAGCGGGAAGAAGAATGGGTGCCTTTGCACTGTTGTGTTGGTGGGGAACTGCTGGAAGAACCAACACCTGTCGGGGAAGAAGGCTCCTTAGAAAGTGAGCATGGTGAGACTTCGTCTCAGGGACTCAGGGCGTGTTATCAGGAGAGACCGGGCCTGGAGAAGGACGCCTACTTGGTAAGGCGGAGGGTCTGTGGAAAGAGGAAGACCCCCGGGAGAGAGGCGGATGCAGTGGCTGCAGCAGTGGACCGGCCCAGCAGCAATTGGGAGGGCCACGGTTTCCTCCTTGTGCATCAGGCCCTCGTGAGCCCAACTCAACAGCGCCTAGCAATACGTCCTGCCCCGGCAGCCACGGATCAACGTTATGTCTGCAGACGCTTGCTTTCCTACCCCAGATGGTTCGTGTAAGTAGGGTTCGGGCACCTTTTTCCTTTGGTGACCGATGGATTTCACTTAGCGGAGGCAAGATGCGGCAGTCTGCTCCTGTGACGACCAGGGTAGGAAACCTGAAAGGGCCAGTCTCCGCTGTCCAATGAGTGCGAATGGGCCCGAGCGCAGGGCGGGTTTCACGCATCAGGGTCCATCCAATGTGGCACCGCTCAGGTATGTCCTCCCCACAGCAGCTTGGCCATCCTAACCTGGGGTAATGATCCCAATTGGGGACGGGTGGTCTTTGCTCTGTGGTTGAGGCAGGGTTAGTACAGGGTCTTAAATCAATCTCTCTGAGCTTAAACAAGTGAGAGACGCAGAGATGGGGTGGTTGATGCCAAGGCAGATGGAACTGCCCGAGAAAGAGCAAGCAGAAACGAAAGAGACAGACCTTCCTCCAGAGCTGATAAGGGAGAGCAAGCCATCCCTGAGAGCCTGGGTCCCGGCTCAGACCTGGAGCCTTCTCCCTGTGAGGAGGTACAGGTCTCTCTGTGGAAGCCGCTCACTTGTGGTACTCCTGTTCCGGCAGCACCAGGCCGCTGAGACGTGGTGGCACGTGCCAGGGCTTCCCTTCTCTTTAGAGCCGAGTCATAGTCGCTGGATGTATGCTGCTGGCCCGTTCGCCTGGTAACGGGCTTTTGGGTGGCTTCCCCTTTCAGCTGTTGTGCACAGGCCTGCAGTGAGCACTGGTGCACACCCAGGCTTCGGTTTGCCTTCCTACTTCAGAGCTTACGGGTCTACACCTTGGAATGGAATCCCCGGATCCTCTGGTGACTCGAGGTCTCATTTTTTGAGGAGCGCCCCACCCCCCCAAACTGCTTTCCACAGAGGTTGCAGCCTTGACATTCCCACCGACGATGGTGAGAGTCCCGGTCTCCCCACTTCTGTGCCTCTGAAAACACCATAGCTATGGTGATGGGTGTGCGGTAGGAGCCCTGGTGGCATAGTGGTTATACATTGGGCTGCTAACCTCAAAGTCAGCGGTTCAAAACCACCAGCTGCTCCGTGGGAGAAAGACGAGGCTTTCTATTCCAGTAAAGAGTTGCAGTCTCGGAAGCTCACAGGGGGAACTCTACCCTGTCCTGTAGGGTCGCTATGTGCACGGGCTCATTGGACATTCAGAAATAATATGACTTAATAGTTTTGTGGAGTTCAGGACTATCCCCGTCACCCTCCTCCGCTGCCTTGTGGTCATTGATTTCCGACCTGCAGAGGGCGGGGCTGTGGTCCCTTGAGGAGGTAGACGGTGGGGCTCTAGGGGGCAGGACACCATCAATGACAGGGTGGGGAGCACCATTTGGGAGCCCTCTGCTGGTGCCATCACAGAAGACAGCTGTCACAAAGTAGTTTCTCCACACATGAAGTGGCTCCATGTCCTGTCCCTCGGGGAGTGTCTGGAGTCCAGGTGCTGTTTCTCGATAGCAGAGCCCTGCTGGGGTGGCCGGGAGCCCTGGGGAGTAAGCGGTGGACTGCGCCCTGCAGGGTTCAACCCCACCCTCCCCCAGTTACTCCACAGGAGGAAGACCAGGCTGGCTTCTCCCGGAAAGATGTATAGTCTCCGAAACCCCAGAGGGTCACTGAGAGTCGGAATCAACTCGGTGGCAGCGGGCTTGGTTGACACTCCATTGCTAACTTGGCTACACCGGGCTGCCTGCGGGAGAAAGACGTGGCAGTGTGCTGCCCTAAGAGGGCAGCCTTGACTGTGGGTTTTCAGTTCTACGCTGCCCTCTTGCTGTGAGTCAGCACTGACGGCAGGGCAGCCAGCTTGGTTTTGCTTGCTCCACAATAGCCTTTTATCCTGAGAGGAGAAGGACCCTAACCAGCTCAACCTTCTCCTTGTGTTGGAGGGGTGGGGCCTCCGCAAAGGGAAATGTTACTGAGAATAGAGACAGAGATATGGCCGCATGCCGGGCCCTCTGGTGCACCTCTCAGCCGGCTCCTGGTGAGCACACGCCGCAGGCAGGTGGTCAGGGAAGAGACTGACTGCCCAGGGGAAAAGCCACACCAGACCTGCTGTTGACCAGTCCCTTCCGGCTCATGGCGACCCCGTGTGTCAGAGCAGAGTGGGTCCATGGGCTTCTCAGTAGCCGGGACCTTTGGGAAGTCTTGCACATGACCAGCATCGCCATGTTTTTCTTCTGAGATGTCCCTCCCTCTCTCCCTCCCTCCCTCCCTGCCGTCAGTCAATTCTGGCTCAGAGAGCCCCTGTAGGACAGGGTAGAACTGCCCCTGTGGCCTTCTAAGACGGTAGCTCTTTATGGGAGTAGAAAGCCAAGTCTTTCTCCCAAGGAGATGCTGGTGGTTTCAAACCGCTGACCTTGTGACTAGCAGGGCTTAAATGAGGTACTTCTAGGTGGATTCAAACCACCAACCTCTCAGCCAGTACCTGAGCGCTATTCTGTTTGCGCCACCCAGGGACTCCTCCGCCTTGGCCTGGGGGCTCGAAACCTGGTCCTGGTCATGTGCAAGCATCTAAGGAGACCAGGACCTCCCTCATGACCAGGCCTCAGAGCCTGCCCACGTGCCTTGAAAACAGAAAGGCAAGTCTACCCATGGAGAGCTACGGTTATCCCCATCCATTTATATATTCTCGAGAGATGAGACAAATTCATTTGTTTGCTTCCATGGTTATGTATGGCAACTCCTCTCCCCTTGCCAAGAATCCGTGTCAACCAGTGAAGGCAAAGCAGGCAAAGCTCCCAGGAGCCAAGTCCACACTCCCTCTAGTCTGGTTCCTGCCCCCGTCCTCAGGGATGCCAACGGGAGGGAGCTCCCTCTGCCTGGCTTCAGGGAAGCCTCACACAGGTGTGTCTTATCCACCAGCACCCACGGCAGCTGGGCCATTCTGAATCCGTGAGAGAGACCCTGACAGAGTAGAATTGCCCAGTAGGGTCTCTGAGACTAAGTCTTTGTGGAAGCAGACTGCCACGTCTCTCTCCTGTGGATTCGAACCAACGACCATCGTGCCAACCAGGTGCAGCATTGACTTTATTATAGCCCGCACAGATTCTGTATTTGCAAATTTGCCCACTGAGTGGAGTTGATGTACTCCAGTGGGTTCCGTGGCCATGCCCAGGTGGTGAGACATGGAGGTGCCGGCGTGACCATTCCCAGCTGAGCTTGCTCCGCCAGACGACAAACCAGGCCCCTTTCACAGCCTCTGGAGAGCCCTGCTTTGGGGTTCTAGTTCTTTTTCTTGATGGTGCGTTTGGTGCTAATGTGCGTCTACTGCGAGTGGCGTGCAGCACGGAGATGATGCCTGTGTTAGGTTCGATTCCTGCCGGCTGGAGTCACTGCGCTCCTGGCCCGGTGCTCAATACATATTAGTGCGTCAACAGTCCATATTCAATAAGCTCCGAGCCAAACCCACCGCCAGCAAGAACATTCTGTCTCTCTGCAATCCTCTACGAGGTTTCCGTCTTTACAGCAGCAGACAGCTTGATCCGTCTCCCGCTGAGCGGCTGGTGGCTCTGAATGGCCAGTCATTCGGTTAGCAGCCCAACACCTGAATCACCAGGGCTCCTGGCATATTCAACAAGGCACCTGTAAGCAGAAGTGGGCAGAACACAAGGTTCTATGTTGACTGGTTGGCGAAGACGTTGTGATCAGAGGCTTGCAGGAACCTAGGCCTGTGTCCGCCCTCAGCTGCAGCCTGAGGTTTTCTGAGGCAGAGTCTGCAGTGACTTCAAGGAGCATAACTACTGTGACTCACAAGTGGTCTGTATGTAGCATGTTGGTGCCTTGTCACTGCCCAGGGCGGAATGTGTCTGGAGGGGGGTGGCTGCCCCTCTCCTCTCTCCTGCTGCTCAATCACCGCCCCCTGAGCCCAGTGGTCCAGACAGGCACCTCCTCCAGCAACGTGAGCCCACCTGGTGTACAGGCACCTCCTCCACTGTAGTCCCGAGCTCCTGCTCTGGGCTCTGCCAGGCCTCCGACATATGCACTTTGGGGGAGTCACTGCATCACTGCAGGAGTCCCTCACCCTCTATGAGCCCTGCCTTAAGGGTAGCCACAGGGGCTGGGCCAGGCCCCAGGCCCCCGGGCAGCATGCCCTGCAGGGTTAAGAGCAAGGAGTGGAAACAAGCAGTCCTCACACATGAAGATGCCATGTGCAGCCCACAGGTCAAGAGAGTGAGCCCTTGGATGTGGGCTGGCTGGACTTGGGGCCAGTTCTCTGTTACCCCTCTCCCCATGCAGTTACTGCTGACCCCAAAAAACCCATGCCTCTCTCCCTTGCTCACTCGCTAAGGGGCCCTCAGTGGGGACACAGCTTGGTTGCTGGCAGACAGAAGAGCCATCTGATGTCCCAACACAGCGGGTTTGGGTCTGCTGAAAGGGTGGTCTATGGAGACAAGCTGGAGGAAACAGCAGAACGGGGGTCTTGTGCGGGTCTCCTCCACCTCTCCACTTCCCTCCTCACCTTTGCCACCCTCCCCCCACCCAGGACCTTTCAGACATCCAGGGTGTGGGTGTGACATGAGTGGAGGGATCATTTTGAATCTCTGCTACTTATTTCACTCAGGTCCAAGCCTCAGTAATGATCAATCCTCAAACTCAGGTGTAAGAAGCATCGTACTCTTCCTTGTTTACACGTTTCAGTTACAGAACATAGTTTAGTCATTGCTTGAAAACTTGGGCAAAGAATGACCATAGAAGCCGGCAATTCAAATCCTAGGTCCGTACAAGAGAATTTAAAGTAGGACAAAGGCACTTGACACAATGGATGGATGGATGGATTGTGATAAGAGTTGTACGAGCCCCCAATAAAATGACTAAAAAAACATAACTTAAGGTAGGAATCGGAACAGAAGCCCATGTTCAGTGTGGCACCTGTCCACCATCACCGAGTGGTGTAAGCATGCACCAACAGATGGGATGGTAGGCATCGCACGGTGGGATGGTAGGCAAGCAAAGAGAGACACCGGGTCCTGACACATAGGACAGCGTGGATGAACCCTGCTAATGTTAACGGAAATAAGCCAGAGGCAAAGGGACCAATAGATAGGATCCCGTTGATTTGAATGGGCAAGCTCTGGTTCTCCTACATGAATCAGCAGGCTTTGGCTCTCCGCCCTGGAAACCAGAGTTTATGAAGGCTGACCAAGGGAGAAAGGGCCCTGGCGGTGACCTGGCTCAGCGCTCTGCTACTAGCTGAGAGAGGTTGGGAGTTCATCCACCAACTGTTCCTGGGAGAAAGCTCCGGCAGGCAGTCCGCTTCCCTACAGACCCACAGCGTGGACACCTTCGGAGGCTGTTCTACTCTGTGCGGCCAGGTTGACAGGAGATGGGCTTGTTTCCACAGCAACAGAGGAACCAGGGCAAGAAGAGAGGGGTGGGGCGGGGCTCTTAGCTTAGGGGCCATAGAGTGTCATCAGTTAACGGTGGTGGACTAATTTGGAAAAAGAACGGTGGGGATCATTACGTAATATGACCCAGGTCGTTGATGTCACTGCATTGTCCACGCTTAGGTGTGGCCGTGGCAAATATTATGTATCTTTTGTGACCATAAAACATACAAACAAGAGCTTTCGTTTCTTCATTTGTGTATACTCATGACTCAGAGAACCCCATAGATGTACAGGGCCTGCTTTGGAAAAGCAGCAGTTGCCGACCAGTTTGCCCCGAGAGCTCACAGGACCCTCTCTGTGCCTGGATCTCTGTGGCCTCAGCAATCTGTGCCTCCTGCAGGCTGTGTTCCTGCACTGGGGACCCCAGTGCTCATAGCCCCCCACTACAGGATGGCCATCACTCAAGATTGCTTGGTGTTAGCCTGGGTTGACTAGAGAAACAAATCCAGAGACACTCATATATATGTAAGAGAGAGAGCGTTTTATATCAAAGAGTAACTATATATTGAGAAAACATCCCAGCCCAGTCCCGATCAAGTCCATCCGTCCAATTAGCCCATATGTCCAGTACCAGTCTATAAATTACTCTTCAGACTCACAGCACATGCAATGGTGCCAAAAGCAGGAAGATCACAGGCCAGTGCGTACAAAGTGGACGCATTTCAGTGCTGGCTCCTCCAGCTCCAGGGATCTGGCTCCATCAGCACAGCTCCAACTGGCTTGTCAACAGGAATGTCTCGCAGGAATGTCTCACAGAGTATGTCTGACTTCCACTGAGCTATTTATTTCTGTAGCACCTCCACATGAGGTCATCAAGCTGCAACCTGATTGACAGGCTAAGCTCCACCCCATTCACTCTTAATAGTCTCAAGTTGACACCAGATTGTGTAACTACCACACTTGGACGCATGCTCCATGTTCTCTGGTTCTTCCTGGAACTCCTGATGTCCTGCTGTCGGCATCCCTTCGGAAAGCCAGCTTCCCAGCCTGCCTTTCACCCCAGATGCGGATCCAGCTGCAGCAGAAGGGCCAACAAGAACTGGCTCTGCTCAGTCTCGCTCTTCTACAAGAGGCCACACCCCCAAGGAGGGGTCACCAGTTTGCAACCTGTTGATAGGTTGGGCGCCACCCTACCTTCCCCTAGGAGTGTCGAATTGACCAAGAGGTAACCATCACAAGCTCTTTCTCCTCTAGGTTGTTCCTTTTTAAATAGAACCCACTCTCATTCTAAGGAACCCTGTCCGGGCAGTGTCGCCCTGCTGAGGGAAGGTTGATGACCCAACCCGCAGGCACTCCGTGGGAACGGGAGGCCAGATCTGTGCCCTTGAAGACTTAGCTCTGAGAAACCCTGTGGAAGGTCACTACCAGTCAGAACCAACTGGGTGGCAGGGGGGTTGGGTTGCTTTGCTTCTTATTTTAGGGGTGCAAGGCTTTTTAACATTTTTTCCTTGGTTTCTCCCAAATGGCATTCTGGGTCGCCCTTGGCCTTTCTATCTGGCGGCCCAGGCTGCCTCAGAGCCAGGATGGCTGACAAATACTTGAGGGAGGACCAGAGCCCCTCCAAGAGCAGTCTTCCTCTTCCCCACACCTCCCTGGAACGCCCCCTTCTCTGCTCCCCAAACCTTCTGGGGGTCAAGGAAAAGACCTGCTTCCCACCAACAGCTACTAAACAGTAGCTAAAGTATTCCCATTAAAACCACTCGATGGTCCCTGTCTCGTCACGTGAGTGACACGTTATGATGAATCACCTGCCTCCCACTCCAGAGGCCACTGCAGCGCACAGGTGGGTCTGTATCATCATCCCCGTGCTGAGCACTGCTGAGGCTCGATTCCTTAAAAGGGGTCAGGCGACTCTCAGGTTGCTGTGATGTGCGCATGCTCGAGAAATTAAATGAGGGGCTCCCCTGTCACCAGCAGTGGGCTTAAGACGCTGTGCCTTCAGCCTTCTTCCGTGAGGACATCAGTGTCTGCCACCTTATGCCACCCCCACCACACTCGCACTCCCACACTCATACACTCCCACTCAAATACACACCCATGCTCATACACACACTCACGCTCATACACTCATGCACACACTTGCACGCACAAACGCTTATACACATGCGCTCACACACTCATGCTCACTCATGCACTCACACTCATGCTCATGCACTCACACTCACACACACTATACACTCACACCTGCATACTCACACTCACTGTCACACTGGGCTCACAGAATGACTGCCTTCTGCCCACTTGTTGTGGAGGCACCTCGATCCCCTGGAAGCCCCGGAGCAGACTAGAAGTAGAAGCTGGGCATTAGGCCCTCGCTCCTCACCCTCCCTGCCCTCCCCTGTCCCCTTAGGACTTTGTGGTGGGCCTCTCCATCCTGCTGCGGGGGACCGTCCATGAAAAGCTCAAGTGGGCCTTCAATCTCTACGACATTAACAAGGACGGGTATATCACCAAAGAGGTACCAGGGGTGGCTGGGGGCTCCTCCTCCCCTACTAGTGACCCATACCCTTCCTCCTTCCTCTGCTCCCTCACATGGCCCTGTCTGCCCAGAGGTGTGGCTCTCAGCCTGGCCCTGGGGGGCACAGATTGCCTGCAGACTCTCAGCCTCCCCTCCATGTGCCCTCGACCCCTGGGTGCAGGTGTGGGCTGTACCCTTCGCCAAGTATTACCATTCAATTCCAGATCACCCTTTCTCATGGGGAGAGCCTAGGGGAGAGCACTGCCTGGCCTTGGCTCCAGCCGAGCAGAGGAAGGGGTGGGGAGGTGGCTGGTCTGAAATCGCCTCAACTGTGGCTGCGTCTGGAGCTTCACACAGCACTCTAACTCTGCCTTCTGTGGGAGTGGCAGGAAAAGCCGGCCACCCCACGGGCTGGACCCGTGTCTTCTCCCTCTGGGTGACCCAGCCCCTCACTCTGTGGGGTAGCCCCTTCCCCTCGGGGACCTAGCGCCCCTCACGTTGCCCCGGCCCCCTCCAGGAGATGCTGGCCATCATGAAGTCCATCTATGACATGATGGGCCGCCACACCTACCCTATCCTGCGGGAGGACGCGCCTCTGGACCACGTGGAGCGGTTCTTCCAGGTGAGGGCAATCCCATCCTGGGGCTGGGGGTGGGGGAAGGGCAGCCTGGTAGAGGAGAGGGCTCTTACTTTTGCGGGACATTCTGTGCCTCCCCACCATGAGGAGGTGAAGCATATGTCCCAACCCTTGGCTGATAGCAGAAGCCCCTGAGGAATGAGTTCAAAATACCCTCCCGCTCCCTTGAGCCACCCTTTGGGGGCAGGCTGGGGCCTGGGCTTTGGAGGCAGCTAACCACCTCCCCGCAACCTCCACACCCCCCATGCACGCAATGTCCCCCAAGATCGAGTCTGGCTCTCTCCAGAGAAACGCTGCTCAGCAGGGACGGCTTTGCCCTGCGTCGGTGAGGTTGGGGATCCCCAGCTTGGGCCTCTGCCGCTCCTTCTGACCTGACTGCCTGTCAGAGGACACGTTCTGAGCTGGGCACTCCCAGGCAGGGGGCCCACCAGGGAGATGGCAGCCCTGTCAGCCCTGGAGGCAAGGAGGGACCTTCCTGTGGCCTAGATCTAGGGGAAGGGGCTTCAGGGGCGAGTTGGATAGGAGCTGGTGTTGTCAAGTGGGAAGCAGGGAGTTGGGTGCCGCCTGGCTGGGCCACAGGCCTGCCGTGCTCACCCACATGCTCCCCAGCCCCCAGGGGCAGGGGCCATCCTGGTGGGCACAGGCTCACCCACCGTGGATGACTTGTGTTGCAGAAAATGGACCGGAATCGGGACGGGGTGGTGACCATTGACGAGTTCCTGGAGACCTGTCAGAAGGTAGACCGGAGCAGGACCCTCTGCAGCCTCTGGTAGAGAGGGCTGGCAGAGGGGCTCCTACCTGCCCGGGGCTCCTCACACCCAATCCTGCCCCTGCGAGCCTGCCAGCTCTCCTCGGGCCTCCCTCGGCTCCTCCCCAGGCTGGAGCAGGAGGGTTCACACTTGAGTTAAACTGGCTGCCGGCGTTGGGTCCCTGAGCCCACCCTCGTCCGTGCCCACCAGCCCAGCATGCACTGGGCCCACTGCTCCTCACCCCTCCCAGTGGGGCCCACAGGAGGCTGGCTGGCCCCCAAGCTGCAGCCATTCTCTGCAGAGCCCACTTCCAGGACGCTGGCCTCCCCAGGCCTCAGTCCCAGGAGGGCTGCTTGGTGACCTGTGGCCTCTGTCAGGTGTGTGGCCCATCCAGCCAGCCAGGCTGACGCCCTTGCCCTCCCCCGGCTGCCTGAGCAGCCTCGGCCCTCTTCTCTGCCCCCAGGATGAAAACATCATGAACTCCATGCAGCTGTTTGAAAACGTCATCTAGGAGCGCTGGCCGAGCCACCTCAGCCTCCAGGGAGACCGCATTCTGCCAGGACAGCCTCCACGGGAAACTCCTTTTCTGATGTAGTGACACACAGCGAACTCTTTACTCCAGCACACACAGACACACACACAGACACACACAGACACACACACACACACACACACACACACACACACACACACACACACACACACACACACACACACACACACACACACCATTCCTCGGGACAGGCAAGCACCATCAGGCCCAGACGGCAGAGTCTGGCTGAGAGCGGGGTGCAGGTGGTGAGAGAAGCTTCCTCGGGGGTGAGCAGCAGAAAGAATCTGTGTGACCCTGGGGTGAACAGGAAAGGGGATCCAGACCAGCCCCCAAAGCCAGCGTCCTCCTGTGCGGGCCCCTGTCCTGCCCAGCCCCCTTCTTCCCACCACACAGTGGACCCAGTTCTGGGGACTCCTCTGCCCTTGCAGCCCCCCTTCTCCATTCAAAGCCCTGAGTGCCTCTCAACATAGGACCCCGCAGGGAGGGATGGGGGTGGGTGGGTGGAAAGACAGTTCTAACTGGGATAGGAAGAGTGCTGGGGGGCCGCCAGCCAAGCCCACCTGGGGCAGACCCCTTGTGGGGCCACGTCAGGGGGTGCGGTATTGGCTCCTCTCTGAGAGGTAGGACCCCTTGCAAGTCTAAGAATTGGGTTTGGGGTGCAGAATCTGAGCACATCTGCTTCTCACCTCTCCTGGGACCGGAGGGACCCGCTCTGGCCTGGTCTTGGCTCAGGAAATACACGGGTGACACCACCCACACCCCTCAAGCTCTAGACTGAGCATCCCTTCCCTGGGTTTCCTGGGGTCCTCGGAGGAAGCCAAGTGCTGAAGGGGTGGCAGCAGGGAGTGGGGCAGGGGCTTAGAGATAGGCCTCTCCTCCCCTCCTCCTGTCTTGCCGGCTTAACAGCTTGGCTGAGCACCTCTCTTCTGAAGCAGTCCGGCCACCTGAGCCCCATACAAAATAGCACAAGCCCCCCCACGGGAGCCAAGGACACAGTTTCCCTGAGGCCAGGCCCTCCTGGTGGGCTGCAGGTGCCCTGACACAGGTGACCGCAGGGAAGGTGCTGGAGGTCAGAGCAGTGGGGACTCTAAGCCCAGCCCAGCCACACTCAAAAGCACAAAACCCACCTGGGGGGGCCGGGGGGCTGGTTCCCGTTTGGGGGATGAAGGCCGGTGCCAGAGCCAACAGTGAGGCAACAGAGACCCTCTGGGAGTGAGAAGGAAGCACCCTGCCCAGGCTATCCCCAGAAGGACCCCTTCTGCCTGGCCAGGGGACCCGCGACCGAGGAACATTCCAACACAGTACATTCCATCAGCTCCTGTCGGCTCTGCTCAGGAGTCCTGAGCCCCAGGAGGCACGAGGCAGCCGGCCGGTTGAGCAGGGTCCTTGGAGGAAGCTGTGGGCATCCGGACAGCCTGTCCAGACACTCTGCTGACACCATCTCCGGTCTGACCTGTCCCTCTCACCTCCCCCAGGAGGGCCTCAGCTTTCCCTGTCTCAGGGATCTACCCCCTCCCTGTCCCACCCTCCCGAGGAGGACCCAAGGCTCCCCAGAGAGGGGGCTCCACCAGACCCTGCTGGGTCAGCCTCGGGCCTGGCTGTCTGTGTGTCCCACCAGGAGGGGTCTGTCTGCCTGCACGCTGGCTGGCTGGGCGCGGCGGCCGCATGTCTTGGGCGCAGCCTGTTCTCAGTGCCCACCAACATTCAGTCTGGTATATTTTAATAAAATAAAATTGCAAAGGAGAGGAGTTGTGTCTGAATTTCGGGTGGAGCAGGGTGGCAGAGCTTGGTGGGAGGCTGTGAGTCGCAGCGCACCCCACGGTACCACTGAGCGCGGCCAGGGACGCACCGCAGGGTCCAGTTCAACAGTAAGCCCTGTTCCACCCGAGATTGAAATCGCCTACAGCAATTACTGGCGAACCGGGCCCAGGAAGCGGTGGGTGGAGCTGGGTGGCAGGTGACTTGCTGAGATGCCGCTTGGGCCTCCTGCCAGGTCCCTGTCCTTTCCCAGCTCAGTCTGGCTGTCCCCTGGAGTCCATGCCGACTCCTGACAGTCCGTAGGGCAGGGCAGAGCTGCCCCTGCGGGTTTCTAAGACTGTAACTCTTCACAAGGTTAGAAAACCTCATCGCTCCTTGGAGCAACTGGTGGCTTCGAACTACCCCCTCGTGAGCACTCTGCCCGCCCCCTGCAGCACCTTGCCTACAAGGATGCAAGTCAACAGGCCCGACACAGAATTTGCTTTTCCTGGTTTTTAGTTTCACAAGGGCTGACGGGTTGTCTGTGATCCGCAAGGCTGCCAGTTCGAAACCACCAAGCTGCTCCTCAGGAGAAAGAAAAGGTGTTCTTCTCCCGTCAACAGCCGGTCTCAGAAACCCACAGGGGCGATGCCACCCTGTCCTCACAGGGTGGCTGTGAGTCAGCATTGATTTGAGGGTGGTGAGGTCAGGGAGGAGAGGAGGCTCTTCACAGGGGGCTCTGGCAGAGGTGCTGTAGCAGCACAGGGAAGCCAGGCCCAGCCTCAGTGCCCGCCCGCCCCCAATTTGACAGATGCTCTTGCAGGCAGTGGGGAGGAGGACAGACGGCATGCCCCTGCACACACCTCCAATCCCCCCTGACATGCCAGGCCGTGGCCCAGACCCTGACGTGTGGAGTGGGCCCCCCTGTGCTGAGCACGTCACCCGGCCACGTAGGGATGGAGGGTCCTCCCAGCCATTAAGGAAAAGAGCCCACATTCCACCCCAGCCAGGTGGCCCCGATCTCCATGGTGCACTCGGAGCTCAGCGTGAGGAGAGCCCAGCTGTTTCCCACTCATCCTCATAGCACTGCTCTGGGCTGTGCACTGTGTGCAGGGGGTGGCAGGAGGGGTGCCCTCTGAGTGGCTGGTAGCAGTGAAGGGCCAGAAGGAGCCCTGTGAAGTCAATGTGTTAGTCTGGATGGACTAGAGAAACAAATGCATAGACACTCGTATGTATAGAAGAAAGAGGTTTATATACAAGAGCAATTAAATATTGAGAAAACATCCCAGCCTAATCCAGATCAAGTCCATAAGTCTGATATTAGCCCTATGTCTGATACCAATCTATAAAGCCCTCTTCAGACTCACGAAATACATGCAATGTTGCTAAATGCAGGAGGATCACAGGCCAGTGGGTTGGAAGTCTTGTGGCTCCAGTGGCTTTGTAAGCATCTCAGGTATGGTTGCATCAAGGTAGGTCCATGTGGCTTCTTCAGCTCTGAGGGTGTAGCATCATGTGTCTTGTCAGTAGAGCATCTTGCAGGGAGTGAGCAGAGAAAGACAGTGTCTCCCGCCTCCAAAGAGGAAATACAGGAGTTCACAGAATTCTCAGGAGAAGGTCATGCCCACACAGAGGCCTCATTGGCTGTCATGTGATTGACAGGCTAGACTCCGCCCCTTCACACTTCATCTTCTCAAGTCCCAAATTGACACCAGATTATGTAACTACCACAGTCATAATACATACTTTGTCTATAATCAAATGAGAGGTTGAAAACGGGTATATTTCCTAGTATTTTCCCAAATCCTGTCAGCTGCTTATATGAAAGGGGATCGGAGGGAAGGAAGCCCTTAGCTCAAAGCATTGCTGCCAGTCATGACACGGGCAATCCAGAGGCTGGAATGTCTGAGTGGGAAGGTAGAAAAGATGACCATCAACCTACCTGTGCAGTGAATGGCTGGTACGTGTCTGCATATGAACCAGGGGACATCACGTAAATGGTGACTCGGGACAGGGCGGAACTCTGCCCCATAGGTCTTCATGGCTGACTTGTTAAATCACGAGACCTTGATCCTGGGCAGCCTCTTAGTGAACTCACATGTCGTCAGGATGAGGTTAGCTGCCAAGCCTACATGCACCACCCAGGGGACTCTGTGTGTGTATACATATTTCCCCAATAGTTCTATTGCGATATAATTCACATTTCCTATACTTCCATAGTTCAGTCTCATTTTATATATAT